GGCGACGCCGCGGCGCGCGGCGCTCCTCGACGCGCTCCGCGACGCCGAGGCCGAGGCGACGCGCCAGGAGGCGCGCCTCGCGTCCGCGAAGCGCGACGCGTCCCACGCCGCGGCGCTCGAGGCCGAAAGAGCTGTAGCTAGGACCCTGGAGGCGTCGCTCCGGGTGAAGACGGCCGCGCTCGACGCGGCCGAGGCCCGGCTCGCGGCCCCGTTCTCGAGCCTCGCGACGCGCTCCGAGGCCGACGCGCCGCCCTACTTCCCCGAGGCGTCCTACGTCTGCTCCGTGGCGTCCGCGGCGCCGCCCGCGTTCGCGCGCGCGCCCGCGCCCGCGCCCGCGGCCGCCGCGCCCGCGCCCGCGGCCGGCGTCGTCGAGGCGCCCGCGCCCGCGGCCGCCGACGTCGGCTGCGGCACGTCGCCGCGCCTCTTCGCGGACGCGTCGACGCTGACGTCGCCGCGGACGCGGCCCGCGGCCGCCATGGACGTCGACGCGCGCGCGGGCGGGCGCCGCGACGCCGCGAGCGCCGTCGAGGGCGACGTCGTGCGCTTCGACCCGTACCTCGTGCTCCGGAGGGGCGTGAAGACGTCCGACGCGACGGCGCAGACGCTGGCCGTCGAGGACCCCGGCGGCGCGCCCGCGCTCCGACGCGCCGTCGACGACCTCGAGAACGCGCTCAAGGGCCGCGTCGCCGACGCCGTCGCGGCGCGCGCGGCCCTCGCGAACGCGCGCGGCGACGCCGCGCGGCTCGAGGTCGAGCTCGCCGCGCTGCGGGCGTCGCACGAGGGCGTCCGGGCCTACGCCAAGTCCATGATGCGCAGGGTGAAGGTCGAGGCCGCGACGCAGACGCCCGCGCCGCGGCCCGAGCCCGCGGCGGCGCCCGCGCCGCGGCGGCGGCGGCCCCAGTCGGCCCGGGACCGCTACGGCGACGAGCGCGCCTTCGTGCCCACGTGGAAGTTCCTGCGCAAGGGCGGGGGCTCGAACGTGAGCCACGGCCGCAAGTGGGCGTCGACGCTCGACGGCGTCGCCGCGGAGCGGCGCAGCCGGGGGACGCGCGCGGCGGCGCCCGAGCCGCCGCGCGCCGTGACGCCGAACCCGCTCCTGCCGGACATCGACGGCGGCCTGCCGGGGGGGCCGCCGCCGACCTTCGCGAACATCGGGGCGTACTCCCCCGCGCCGCACGGCGGCGCGCCGTCGCCGCCGCCGCCGCTCTCGGACCGGCGCGACGACTTCGGCGCCTGGCCCGAGCGGCCCGCGACGGCGATCCCGGCGGCGCCCGCGGCGGACGCGACGACGCGGCCGAGCACGGCGCCGGACCCGTACCGCGGCCTCGGGGGCTCCGTGGCCATCCCCGCGGTGCCGTACGTGAACGTGTCCCGGCGGCCGTCGCGCGACACGCCCCCGGTCTCGGTCCGCGCGAAGTCGCGTTAAGCGGAGTTGTGCGTGCGGTTTGCGAAGGACCCGTGGCGGCGCTGGACGAACCAGACGTCGTCGACGACGGGCGCCGCGGCGCAGTGGGCCTCCGTGCACTCGTACTGCCAGCGCGCGTGGGACGCGTTGTGGACGACGAGGCGGCCGTAGCCGAACTCCTCGAGGCGCACGAGGGAGCGGTTGCCCGCGTTGGGGAGGTGGAAGCCGAGCTTGCCCTCGTCGGACCCGCCGCCGCCGACGACGACGTGCGTCGTCGCCGGCATGTCGACCGTCGTTTGCGTCGAAATCCCGCCCGGCGCGACGTCCGCGAGCCGCTCGTAGTTGTGGACGTGGCCCGAAAAGTAGAAATCGACGCCGTAGTCGTAGAAGAGCGCCTCGATGCTCGCGTTCCCGGAGCCGCGCATCGCGGCCGCGGGACCCTCGCAGTTGCCGTTGGCCGTGCAGTACATCGGGCGGTGCGAGTGCGCGATGATCCAGGGAGCGGACGACCGGTTCGCGTTCGCGGCCGCGAGGTCGGCCTCGAGCCACGCGTACTGCGCGGCGATCATCGCAGCGTCGCCGCCCGCGCAGACGACCTCGCCGTTGAGCGCTATGACGTGCGTGAGGCCGTAGTTAAAACTGTAAAAGAAGTTGTTGGGCGCGACGCCGTTCGACGTCGTCACCGTCGGGGTCCAGGCGGCCCGCGACGCGTCGGTCTGGGACGCCGCGGCGCCCCGGAAGAACTCCGCGTAGTACGCGTAGCCGTACATGCTCTCGTGGTTGCCCAGCGACACCATGTAGGGCGCGCGCGCCGAATAGTTTTGGATCGCGTTCATGAAACGGCGGCCCGTGTCGCCCCTGTTGGAGTCCAAATTGTAGCCGAAATCGCCGACGTGGACGACGAGGTCCGCGCGGCCGTCGATGATCTCCTTGGAGACGAGGGGCATGTCCGTCGAGTACCCGGGGTGCGGCCGGTCCACTCCCATGTCGCCGTAGAGGATAAACGTCGTCGTTCCCACGGTCTCGGCGTCCGGCGCGGCCGCGAATTGGAACACCTCCGAACTATTGCCGCCGTCGACCTCGACGCGGTACGAATAGACCGTCGACGCGGCGAGCTCGACGAGCGCCGCGGTGTAGAGCGACATGACGAGCTGCGTGTTGTTCAGGTCGAATTTGCTGCACGCTCCGGCCGCGCGGCGCGCGTCCGCGGGCGGCGCGCTGCTATTGCCGCGCCAGTAGCGCACGTGCGCCGCGGAGGCGCACAACGCGGACGCGTTCGTGCCCACGTCCGACGCCCATTGCACCGTCATGGTGTCGGGTGTCTTGCCGAGGCTGAGGTGGATCTGCTCCGGCGCGACGATCGCCGCGTAGCTACCGATGTGCGCCGGCGCGACGATCGCCGCGGCCGCATCGCTGCCCGTGAATTCGCCTTCGCGCAGGTCCGTGGACGCTGCAAGCGCCGCGGCCGCATCGCTGCCCGTGAATTCGCCTTACGCAAGTCCGTGGACGCTGCAAGCGCCGCGGCCACGGTCAGGGCAGCCCAGCAAAAGCGATCCATGCTCGCTGCCTTCTCAGAATGTCAATGTTTCGCTTCAACGAAGCGCTTCAAGTTTCGAATCTCTTAGGCCTGGACGCCCGAGAGCTGCTGGTGCTCCTTCTCGCGGAACATGTACTTGATCTGGCGGGGCTCGGCGTTCTGGATCTCCGGCGGGAAGAGCGCGCCCGCGTCCGCGCTGAGCTTCTTCAGCTCCGCGAGCTCTTTTTTGGTCGCGAAGCGCTCGCGCTTGAACTGGTCGCAGACGGCCTTGCCCAGCGCCTCGACGAGGGGCGGCTCCGCGTCCGGGTAGACGGAGATGAGCGACTTGCAGACGTCGTCGACGCACGCGGTCCGCTCGTCCGTGAGCTGCTGCTGCAGGTCCCAGACGGACGACCGCACGGCGCGGCCGTCGATCTCGCCCGGCGACGCCGGCAGGAGCCGCGCGGCGTTCTTGATGAGGAACTGGATGTCCTCGAGCTCCAGGGCCTTCTCGTCGTCCTCGGCGACGTAGATGGACCGGATGTAGCCCTCGACGGCCGCGGGGTCGATGTTGTCGTAGTAGAGCGCGCGCATCTTCAGCTCGAGCTCCGCGGACAGGCGCTTCTTGTCGTTCTCGCGCCGCAATCCGGTGAACTGGGCCCGGATGCGCCGCGCCGCGAGCTCCGGCGGGTGCAGGCCCGGGTCCGCGGGGAGGAGCCGGTCGCAGTTGCGGACGACGTTCCGCATATCCGGCAAATCCGGGAACTCGTCGGAGACGGCCGCGACCAAATCGGAGATGAAGTCGCGCTGCGCCGGCACGTCGGCGATCTCGCGGTAGACGCCCGCGCAGGCGCGCTCGAACATGTCGAGGCGCAGCGTCGCCCGCTTGTCCTGCACGTCGAGGTACGACATGAGGCGGTCCGTGTCGATGGGGCTCGTGAAGAGGTGCCGGTCCGCGAGGGACGCCTCGTAGGGCGTGTTCGTCAGGTCGATCTCGTTGAGGTTCCGCAGGCGCCCGAGCTCCCGCGGCACCGTGGCCAGGTCCGTGTTCCTGAGATCGATGCACTTGAGCTTCTTGCAGAACTGGATCTCCGTCGGCAGCGCCGCGATGGGGTTGTCGTTGAGCCAGAGCTCCTCGAGCTTCGCGAGCTGGCCGATGGCCGGCGACAGCTCGCTCAGCTCGTTGTGGCCCACGTCGAGGCGCAGGAGGTGCGACAGCGTGAAGACGTGGTCCGGCAGCCGGTAGAGGCCCAGCATGGTCAGGTGCAAGTTCTTGTTCCGGAGCGACATGGCGTAGCGCGGCTCCAGCGACTCGAGGTCCGTCCCCTCGCGCACGAGCCCCACGCTCGCGTGGCTCGGCACCTTGAGCTTGCCGGTGCGCGCCAGCATCGTTTCGAAGCAGCGTTGACGGCGCGATGGGTGGGCTACCGCGTGATTTAATGCACGTTTGCGGCACCACTAGCTCAAAAGCAGCCCAAACTCAAAATCTGGGCAGCTCGACGCGCCGCTGCTCCTCCTCTTGGAACGGCACCGACGACGCGATGTCCGAAGCTCTGGAGCCCGCCGGTGGGAAGCGCAAACGCTCCGAAGGCGGCTTCGTCGAATCCCTCGGTCGCGAAATCCTCGTTCAGGCGCGCGAGCTCGACAATGCGAGCGGTACGAAGTTCGGGGTATCACGTTTGATCCGGGGAGCTTCAGTTATGGCCTTCTGGATTTCGAAGGTGCAAAAGAGCGCAGGGGACGCGGTTTACGTCGTCAGGAGCTGCGTAGTCTATTTTACGGTGGCTCGGGTTACCGCGACGTTCGGAGATTTGTCTAACGCGATCGAATGTTTCATGACGATATTGGAGGGAGGAATGACCAGAAATGAGGACACGATTTACGCGTTTAGTGTGTGGGAGGCGCGCCCGGTGATGAAGATTTCATTACACACTGATCGCCCAGAGCGAGAGCGTCGGGCGCTGTTGGAAAAATGCAGGGCGGAGCAGATCGGCATGCTCACCAGACTCCTCGATGACTCGGTGGCCATTGTAGCCGACAAGAAGTAGAATCGCGCGTAACAGCCTTACACGCACCCCCTCACAGCTTGTCGGCGAGGCGCTCCGGGTGGGGCGCGCCGAGGTCGACGGCCCTTCGGACGTCGAGCGCCTTCTCCTTGTGGAGGGCGTCGCACCAGCTCGCGAGGTCCTCGTTGAGCGCCTTGACGGCCGCCGTCGCGCCGACGGCCGGCGCGTCCGCCGGCGGCTCGAGGTCCGTGGGACCGAACGACGGCGCGCCGAAGCCGCCGTAGCGCTCCGCGACGCGCTTGCAGCCGGAGGCGAAGCCGCCGGCGGCGCAGCCGGAGCAGACGGCGAGGGTGTCGCAGCTCCAGAGGCGGTCGTCGGCGCCGTCGCGGGCGAGGGGCCACTCCGCGAGGTCGCCCGCGGCCGCCGTCGCGCGCGGCAGCGCCGATAAATCGGGAAACTTGGCCTCGAAGGTGCCCGCGCAGACCTCGTCCAAATGCGCCATGGCCTGCCAGGCGCAGACCATGGCCCAGGCGTCGACGCCCGCGTCGCACGCGGACCCGCAGAGCTGCCCGAAGTTCGTGTCGGGCGACATCGCCGCGTCGCCGCACCAGTGGGCCCGGTCCTGCGCGGGACACTCCTCGCGCAGGGGCACGCCGCTGGGCCCGCCGATCGCGTCGGGCTGGAAGAGCTCGTTGGCGCAGGCGTCGACGACGGACCGCACGGCCGCGGTGCCGCGCGACCGCTCCGCGAACGCGTCGCTCGCGGGCAGCCGCAGCTGGAGGCTCCGGGCGCTGTAGCACGTCGCGCCGAGGGCGACGACGCAGAGCGCGAGCCGCGCTCGCCAGAGCCCGCGGCGCGCCGTCGAGAGATGGAGCGCGTCGGCGTCGTCGGCCAGCAGGTAGGCGGCCTCGGAGGCCATTGCGCACCGGAGCTGTTCCTGCTGGAGCTGCTGCTGTTGCTTGAGCTGCTGCTGCGCGAGGTGCTGCTGCTGCTGGAGCTGGGCAAGGATGCTTGCTGGCTATGCGACGCACACGGACGCTGCTAGGGCTGCCCCGCAGGCCGGAATGGAACCTCGCTATGACGCCACGACGGTGCTGCAACAAAAAAGATACATCAAGGTGCTGCCATTTTGGACGACGACGACCTCTGCCGGCGGCCGCGCCGCCCGCACCGGCTCCGTCGCTCGCGATCATGGGGCGCGCCCTCGCGCTTGTCTGCGCCGCCGTGACCTGCGCGGTCGCGGCGGGCGCCGGCGCGAACGAGCCCATCGCGCCCAACGAGCTGGGCCTGACGGCCATCGACTGCGCGACGCAGTACTGCACGTCCAAGGACTCGCTCCTCCTCTGGCTGGCCCTGGAAAACACGTGCTTCTCCGACAAGCAGCCGCGCGCCGCCGCGTCGTAGAACTTCGCCGGGCCCCGGGGGTGTTCGCGGCGTCGCGCCGGGGGCGGAGGATCCGCGGCGGCGGCGGCGGAGAACGTCGCCGGCCCCCGGGGCGTCGGGGGCCCGCGTCGCGCCGCCCGCGGAAGATCCGTGCACGCCTCGCCTCGTCGCGCGCGCTCCTCCCATCGGTTTCCCGACGCCGTCGCCTTTCAGGTACTCGACGTCGACGTCGCTCGCGGCCGTGGACGTCGCGGCGTCCGTGTCCCAGCTCTGGTCCTTCAACGTCGTCGGCGCCATCACCATGTCGATCATGGCCGTCGGCCTCGTCGTCGGCTACGCCGCGGGCGCGCGCTCCGCGGAGCAGCACCGGCGATAGGCGGCGCGGCGCGCGTTTTTGCTCTCTAAATACATCCTCTTTCATTGTACTATGGAACCACAGCCCGCCCGAGGGACACGTTACCCGCCGCTCCTAGGCCTGCTTCGGCTTCTCCTTGTCGAAGAGCGTGGCGAAGAGCGACAGGCACATGACGCCGACGACGCCCGGGCAGAGCTGGGACTGGACCATCTTGATCTCGTCCGTCGGGCACGCGCCGTGCTTGGCGCACGTCTCCGCGTAGAATGCCTCGAGGCCCCAGTAGCCGCCGACGGTCATGGCCAGCGCCGTCGTCGCGAGCGCGCAGCGCAGCATCTTGACGTCGCCGAAGAGCGCGCAGCACGCGCAGAGGAGCCAGAGCGGCAGCTGGAACGCGTGGTCGAACAAAGCGCCGATGCGCGCGATAGAGATCTCGCGCCTGGGAGTTTTAGCCGTGACGCGCGAGCGAGACGGCGAAGACGCGGAAACGCCGACGGCTTGAGCTTGGGCTTGGCCTCGAAGCCCTTCTCCCAGGAATCGCCGCCGTTGAGCACGTTCGCGGCGCCTACGCTTCGGCGTGAGAGTTTTCCTCTCCAAAAAGCACCGCGCCGCGCCGAAGATCATGAGCCCGCACCAGGTGAGCAGCATGCAGCGGCTGCCAAAGGCAATGGCACCTATTTGAATGGGGTTTCCATATTGAACAGGCATCGATGGATTTGATGGTGATCCACCAGGAGCCAACCAGCGCACGTCCAGGCATGCGTCGCGCGAGAAAAAACACGCAAGATCGTGACGCTGCATCGCGCCCATGGTGGCGCGCGACGGCGCGAGAATGCACGCTACAACGAGAGGCTGCCCCGGCAGCAACCACTCGTGCTTGCGACGGACACAAACAATGTTGAAGCATGAGTTGCTGTAATCCTAGCCTGCGACGTGTGGCGAGCCGCTCGAGGCTCTCTGAAGCGTGGACGAGACGCTGGACGGCGTCGCCCTCCCGCGTCTGTTCGCGACGCGACCAGGCGCTATCCGCCTCCCAGCAATTCCTCGGTTGAAGGCCGTGCACTGCTGCACGTGCTCGACCTGAAAAAAACTGGTCTCGGGGCAAATCGCGCCGCCCGAAACCCCCGGGAATCCAGCACATCGCCGGTAGCCGGGAGCGAGGCCCAGCTCGTGCACTTCGGGCTGGGAGCCGCCCCCGAAGAAAAACCATGTCGTCGCGGCCGATCAAGGGCATCCACTCGATCAACGTCGACAGGGGCTTCGGCCCCGATGGCCGCCGCGTCAAGTCGCCGTCGGACGGTTTGAGCCTGCAGGCGCGCGCGCCGCGTCCGACCCGGGGCCCTCGCCGCGCGACGACCCGCGCGCGCCTCCCCCCGCGCGACACACACCTCGCGCGCAAAACTCCAACCACCAACCCTCTAGGTCGCGTCGGACAAGCGGCGCTCGCCGACGCACCACCACAAGCGGTCGCCCGCGAATTCCCGGACGCCGAGCCCGAACCTCGAGAAGCAGTTCGGCCGGAGCAGCGGTGGCCGCGCCAAGACGGCGAGCGACATCTACCACGCGTCCATCAAGAGCCCGCGGTCCGCGTTCCAGGCGCCCGGCGAGGGGTCGTCGAGCAAGAACAAGTCCGGCGGCGCCAAGGCCTGGCGCGCGTCGCCCGTCGGCGCCAAGGCCGCCGGCGCCGGCGGCCGCGAGCGCAAGTCGCCGAGCCCCTACAGTAGCTCGAGCCGCAAGTCGCCGTCCGCGGGCCTCGGCGGCGACGAGAAGAAGAAGGCGCTCGGCGCGAAGGAGCGCAAGGAGCGCGACCGCGCCGCCGCCGCGGCCGCCGCGGCGTCCGCGGCCATCGTCGAGGAGGAGCTCAAGCACGACGACGACGACGACGACGAGCCCGAGAGCGACGTCGACGACGTCGAGCTCCAGTCCATCACCGCGGGCCTCAACCAGGGCGCGCTCGGCCCGCGGCCCCAGAACGGCGCGAGCCACGTGCCCTCCCGGCTGCCGAGCCACCTCGCGGGCGACGAGAAGAAGGAGGCGGCGGAGAAGAAGGCGCCCAAGGACAAGACCGACCCGCCGCGGCCGCGGTCCGCGCCGGGGAGCCGCGGCCACGGCGCGGACGCGGAGCCGCGGCCCCGCGACCGGTCCGCGTCCGTCCGCGACGGCTCCGCGAGCCGGGGCAGCCCGCGGTCCGCCGTGCACCGGCGCCACGTGAGCGACATCCGCGTCGACGCCGCGCCCGCGGGGCCCGACGGCGAGCCCCTGTCGCCGTCCGCGCCGCGGCGCCGCCGCGGCGACGCGGACCGCGGCTCGTCGGACCGGAAGCCGCCCAAGGAGGATCACAAGGCCAAAGAAGAAATCGCGCCGCCCCCGGCCCGCGACCGGGCCGGCTCCGAGCCCGCCCCCGAGGAGACGGACGCGTCCCTGCGGACGAGCCTCCAGCGCGTCCTCGCGGCGGAGCACGGCCCCGCGCGCGACGACGGCATCAGCATCCGCGAGATCGAGGAGCTCCAGCTGCTGCTGGACTACAAGAAGCACCAGCTCCTAGCGGCCCAGCACGGCGAGGCGCCGGGCCGCGACCGCGGGTCGTCGCTGGAGGACGTGGCGCTGCCGCCGCGACCCGGCGACGCGGACCTGCCGCATCCGCCGCCGCCGCCGGACGACGAGCCCGACTCGGAGCTCGCGCGGACCATCGCGGCGCTCCAGCGCCTGCCGTCGCAGCTCCGCGTCGACAACCGGTCCGCGTTGAGCCACCTGACGGAGATGTCGCGGCGGCTGAGCGCGTCCGTGGGCGCGGCGGCCGAGGCGTTCTCGGGCGGCCGCGCGGCCGACGAGCCCGACGACGAGGAGCCGGAGCTCGAGGGCCTCGCCCGCGACGCCTACGGCTTGGGCGCCGTCTACGGCGGGTCCGTGAACTCGGACTCGAGCCTGGGGGCCACGGGCAGCCTCGGCACGACGTCGACGGCCGCGGCGCCGGAGCCGCCGAAGGAGCCCGAGAAGACGGCGGCCAAGACCTTCGAGCCCCGCGACGACCGCGGCGTCGACGTCTTCACGGAGTCGATCCTCCAGTCGAAGCGCGACGAGGACGAGGCCCTGGCGAAGTCGCCGACGGCCGCGGCGAACGGCCTGTTGCGGGGCGCGAACGAGAAGTCGCGCGCGGAGCGGCTCGCGCGGCTCCACGCGTCGGCCTGCGCGCCCAACGACAAGATGTTCTCGTCGGCCTACGGCGCCTGGGTCACGTCCAAGGGCGGCCGGGGCAAGAAGGTGCCCATCGTCCGCAAGGACGCGCCGAAGAAGGTCGAGAAGCCCGCCGAGGGCGACGACGCCGCGGAGCCCGAGGAGAAGGCCGGCAAGCCCGCGGGCCCGCCGCCGCGGCCGAGCCGCGCGCCCGTGCCCGAGGTGTCCTTCGGTCTCGGCGTCGTCGGCTCGACGCGCGAGGGCCGGCCCGCGGACGGCGCGCCGACGCTCAACTTCTCCGTGCTCGACGACCTCGAGGAGCGCACGGGCGTCCAGGCCGTCGTCGTCGGCCACGCGCCCGCGGCCTTCGCCGAGTCGTTCCGGAGCCCCTTCCACCGCCTCGTGGACTTTGGGCCCGACGTCGACCCGGACCGCGAGGACGAGATCAACGACCGGTCGCGCCAGCGCGAGCGCGACTGGCTGCGCGACGGCGGCGACCGCGCGACGCACTCCGTGCGGTCGGCCCTGAGCTCGCCGGAGACGGTCATCTCCTCCGTGTCCGACTACACGGCCTGGTCCTGCGCGAGCCCGAGGTCGCCGAACCACGTCGAGTTCTCCTACCGGCCGCCGCCGTCCTTCGTGCCGCGGATCCGCCTCGAGGCGCTCCGCAGCCCGCGCCGCGGCGTCGTCGACGACTACATCCTCAGCCCGGACCCGGCCAAGTCCATCTCGACGCTCTACTCGCCGCGGTCCGCGTTCACGCCCCGGTCCTCCGCGTCCAACGACGACCTCCGCTCCGCGGGGAACGCGCCCGCGGCCAAGCACACGACGAACCACAAGGCCCGGCCCGGCGAGTGAGCGCTCGCGCCGGCCGCCTCCCTGTCTGTGCCCCCGGACGCGCGCGCGGCGTACCTTTAAACACCGCGCGGGCGTGCTCGAGGACGAGTATCGGGGACGCGTCCGCCATGGTGAAGCCGACCGAGTCGAGGCAAGGTCGTGAGAGAGGCGAGTGCTCGAGCCCATGGCTCTCAGCACTCTCGACGCCGAGCGTGATTATGCAGCTCGGCTGTTCGGCGTTCACGCCATCCGCGTGGCCGCCGCGAGCGCCGACGACGACGACGGCGACGCGCTGCTGCTCCAGTGCGCCTTTCTGGAGGAACCGGACGAGGACGAGGCCTCCAACGCCTTGCTGGACCACAGCGAGGGCGGGAGCGGCCAGCTCGCGGACGACGCGACGCTGCGCGTCGCGCTCGTCTGCGTCCAGGAGGCGCCCGCCGCCGTCGCCCGGGCGGGGCTCGAGCGGCTCTACGGCGCGGACCGGCTCCGCGGCGCGGGCCCGCTCCGCGCGGTCGCCGCGCGGCGCCGCGGCGCGCGCGGCCAGAGCGGCGGCGCGTCGCTGCTGCCGCTCCTGCGCTTCGGCGCCGTCGGCGACGGGAGCGGCGCGCGCGGCTGCAGCGCGCACCCGCAGCTCGCGAGCCTGCGGCGGATCCTAAGGGCGAAGAGCGGCGTGCTCCGGAGCTCGGCGCTCGCGGGCCTCTGCGGCGGGCAGGGCAGCAAAAGGGTGATTCAACGTCGCTTCAACGTGAGTGTTCCGCGCGCGCGCGTTTCGGAGACAGCACCTATGCTTCGAGAGCGCTCCGAGAGATGATCGCTCGTCCAAAAATCAGCCGAAACGAGCGGAAAACGACCGAGATAGGAGCCTTTGAAGTTGGGAATTTCGCACCCTTTTGCTGCCCAGGCGGCGGGTCGCGCGGCGCGGTGGACCTGCAGCTGCGCTTCGTCGCCTACCAGCTCCTGCGCTGCCTCATGGCGGCCCACGGCGCCGGCGTCGCCTTCGGCGGCCGCGTCGACTCGCGGAGCCTCTTTGTCAGCGACCGGCTCTGGCTCCGCGCGCTGCCGCGCGTCGCCGCCGTCGCGGGCGAAGCGGCCGGCGACGCGCCCCTCTGCCGGCCGCCCCTGCACCGCAAGCCCGTCGTCGCGCGCTGGGTCGACGGCTCGCTGTCGAACTTCGAGTACCTCGTATTATTAAACGAGGCCGCGGGCCGCGGCAACTGCCTCAACAACGACCACTTCGTCTTCCCCTGGGTGTCGGACCTCAAGAGCCGCGACGGGGACGACCACTGGCGCGATTTATCGAAGACGAAATTCCGCCTGAACAAGGGCGACCTCATGCTGGATCGCACCTACGGCGCGTCGAGGCACCACGTGCCCGAGCCGGGGCTCTCGGAGCTCGCGCTGTGCATCTATCTCGCGCGGATCACCCCGATCTCGGTGCTGCGCCGCGTCGTCCGCGCGAACTTCGTCGCGGAGCACTACCCGGCGACGGTGGAGCGCCTGTACGCCTGGACGCCCGACGAGGCCATCCCCGAGTTCTTCTGCGATCCGTCCGTGTTCAAGAGCCGCCACGGCGACCGGCTCCGGGACCTCGGCGTGCCCGGGTGGTGCGCGTCGCCGGAGGACTTCGTGTCCTACCACCGGGCGCTCCTCGAGTCCGACGCCGTGTCGTCGAACCTGCACGCCTGGATCGACGTGACCTTCGGCTACGCGCTCGTCGGCGCCGCGGCCGTCGAGCGCAAGAACGCGCCTTTGAGGGAGCGGCCGCGGAGCCTCTTCGACCGCGTGGACCACCGCGCGCCGGGCGCGGCCGTGCTCTTCGCCGCGCCGCACCCGCGGCGCGCCGTGGCGCCGCGGGCGGCGTGCGACGCCGCGGCGCGGGCCGCGGACCGGGAGAAGCGCGCGCTCGAGGCGTTCCTGCGGCTCGAGCCCGCGAGCTCGCGCGGCGTCGACGCGCCGCGGCCGCCGGCGGACGCGCCCGCGGCGTCGCGCCGCCTGGCCTTCGACGCGTTCGGGGATGCGCACGCCGTCGCGGGCGACGTCGACGCGCCCCTGCGGCGGCCGCCGAGGAGGCCGGCGGTCCGTCCGTTCGACGGCGCCGTCGCCGCGGACGCCGCGGCCGCGGGCGCGGTGCTCCTGGAGCTCTACCTCGGCGCGGCGCCGGACGGCGGCGGTGCGGCGCCGGCGCCCTGCGCCGTCGCGCCCCTGCCCGCGCCCGTGCGGCGCGCCGCCGCGGCGCTCGCGGCCGGCCGCGCGTCGCTCGACCGGATAGCGGCGACGGCGCCGCCGGCCGCGTCCGACGACGACGACGACGCGCGGCGGCGAAAACCGGACTACGAGGACGCGGCGCCGTGCCTCTTCCCGAGCCACTTCGCCAAAGCCTACGACCTCGTCGCCGCCGTCGAGCGCGCGGCGACGCCGCGCGACGCCGTCGACGCCGTCCTGGGGAGCCTCGACGCGTTTGGCGACCTGGAACTCGCGGGCGCGCTGCTCTGCCTGCCCCACTACCTCGCGTGCCTCGACGACACCAAGGGCTGGAGCTTCCTCGCGGGCGACGAGAGCGACGACGACGACGACGAGAAACGCGCGGGGAGCTCCGACGACCTGTGCCTCTTCGTCGACGTCGTCGGGGCCAAGATCGGCCAGGGCGCCGCGGCGCACGCGCTGGCGCCGCGCGTGGCCGCCTTCGTCGACGCCGTCGTCCAGCTCGAGGGCGAGGCGCCGGCGACGTTCTTACGCTACGGCGACTTAGTGTTTCGGAGCGTCGTCGACCGCTGCGGCGCGCGCGCGTTCGCCAAGCTCTTCGTGCCCACGCTGTGCGACGTCGCGCGGGGCGCGGGCGACGTCGCCGTCGCCGCGGCGGGCGCGTTGGGCCGCCTGGCGTCGCGCGACGCCCTGGGGCCGGCGCTCGCGGCGCGGCTCGTGCTTCCCGCGGTCGTCGCGGATCTCGGCCGCGAGCAGCTCCACGACGACCCCGCACTGGGCGACGCGCCGACGCCGCGCGTCTTTGCCGTCGTGGAGCTCTGCGACGCGTTGGGCGCCGAGGCCGTGGCGCCGGCGGTGCTGAGCCCGCTATTGGACGGGCGCGGCGCGTTGGCGGTTTTAGAGGGCGCGCTCTCGGATCCGCACAACGGCGCGGCGCGGCGCGCGCTCCTCGAGATCATCCGGGTCTTACGGTCGCTCGTGGGCGCGTTGTCCCCGGCGACGGTGCTCCACTTTTACGTCGACGTGCCCCCCGTGCCGCTGCCGCGCCTGTTAGGCGCGCTGCTCCCGACGACGTCGACGCTGACCGACGCGGCGAGCGTCGCGGCCGCGAAGCGCGCGCTCACGGACGTCGCGAGCCTCGTGAGCCTCGTCTGCTTGGCGGTTGGGCCCGCGGCGTCGACGAAGCATTTGTTGCCGGAGGTGGACCGCTTCTTCGGCCAGCTTGCGCATCTGCGCGCGTCCGCGGCGGCGCTCCCGGGCGCGGTCTCGGAGCTCGCGGAGCGCCTCGCGCTCGACGTCGCGACGGAGCTCTACACGCCCCTGGCGGCGACGCTGGGCATCGAGACCATGCGGCGCCACGCGCCGTCGGCGCGGGGCCTGCTCGGCGAGGCGCTGCCGGGCGACGACGCCGCGCGCGACCGCGCGCCGCCGGGCGGCGCGGCGCGCGACGACGACGAGCTCCACAAGCGCGCGCTCGACTGGGGCCACGACCAGTTCGAGAAGGGCCTCGACTGGCTCACGCGCACGGCGGACCGCCTCGGCGGGCCCCCGGGCGCCGAGCCGCGGCGGCGGCGCGAGCACCCGGACGACGTGACCGTCGACGACGAGGCGTTCGGCCGCGGGGCCCGGAGCGCGGAGGCGGCGGCGCCCCGCGTGCCGCCGCCGCCGCCGCCGCGGCACCAGACGTCGCCCGGCGAGCGGCTGGGCACGAAGCGGCCCCCGCGCGCGCCCGCGGTCCTCGACGAGGGCCGGCGGCAACGCGTCCAGTCCGTCGTCGAGAACCAGGTCTCCGAGGGCATGGAGCTCCACCGGCTCCGCGACGCGCGGTCCGCGGCCGCGCCCGCCGCCGCGCGGGCGCCCCGCCCGCCGAAGCCCGCGGCGCGGTCGTCGCGGCCGCTGCACGTCAAGGTGCTCACGCACTCGTCGTCGCTCCGCGGCGACTTCGACCCGCGCCAGTCCGTCGACACCTACGACGGCGAGCCCCGCGCGGACTCGAGCGACGACGACGACGACGACAAGCCCGGCGACGCCCCGCAGAAAGCGAAGGCCCCGGAGCCCGTCGTCAAGGGCCTCCAGCCGCAGGGCGCGAACGCCGCGGCGATCCGCGACGAGCGATTGTGGCTGCTGGGCGCGTACCCGCGGTCGACGCTCGTCGACGAGCGGCCCTGGGAGGCCCTCGACGAGCCCTGGGCGCCGCGCTTCTCCGTGTCGTCGCGGCCCCTGGCCTGGGTGCCGCCGACGGTCGCGGGCGCGGCGCGGACGGCCGGCGGCGCGGCGCCGGCGGCCGGCGCGGCCGCGGACTCGCGGGGCGCGCGCGTGCTCGCCGTCGACGCCGCGGAGACGGTGGTGCTCTGCGGCGGGCGCGACGGCCTCGTGCGCGTCTGGAGCCTGCGGCGCCACCCGCCGGAGCTGCAGGCGCGCGGCTACTCGGCCGCGTCCTACGGCCGGTCCGGCGCGCGGCGGGCCGTGCGCGCGCTCTTCACCTTCGACGGCGGCGGCGGCGGCGGCGGCCTGCGCGCGGGGAGCTGCGACGGCGCCTATTTGGACGTCTGGGACGTGGAGCGGACGAAGACGATCCGGCGGTGGGCGTGGCCGCGCGCGCGCGCCGCGGCGCAGGCCGCGGCCGCGCCCCCCGCGGCCGCGGGGCCGCCGGGCGCGCCCTACGGGGCGCCCTTCCCCGACGCCGGGTCCCAGCTCATCGTCGACGCGGCGCCCATGCCCCTGGGCTACGGCGCGGGCGGCGCGACGGCTGCGAGTCCAGGCGCGGCGTCCGCGCAGCAGCTCGTCGTCCTCGCGGAGCGCGCGCTGTCCATCGTCGACGTCCGCGCGCGCGACGGCGCCGCCGCCGAGTGGCCCCTGCTCTTCGAGGGCGCCGACGACCACGGCGCGCCCCCGAAGCCGGGCCGCGATTCGCGCGGCGACGACGACGCGGCCGCGGCGGCGCCCGCGGCGCCGCCCGCGACGCCCGGCGCGGCGTTGGAGGAGCCCCACGCGGGCCTGAGCTCGCCCGAGCCCCTCTTCCACGCGCGGGGGCGCGGCGGGTCGCGCGCGCGGTCCGTCGCCGCGTCCGCGCGCGGGTCGTGGCTCGCCGCGGGCTCCGAGCACGGCGCCGTCGCCGTGCTCGAGCGCCGCGCGGGCAAGGTGCTCGCGACGTTCCAGGCGCACCACAGCGCCGTCGTCGCCCAGCTGCCCGTGGGCCGCCACGAGCTGCTGACGGTGGCCGCGGACACGACGGCGACGCTCTGGGACCTGCGCGGCGCGCAGCCCCGGGCCGTCGCGACGGTGCGGGGGCTGCCCGACTACCGCGGCGGCCTCCACGCGGCGAACGTCAAGGCGCTCCACTTCGACCAGGGGGGGCTGCTGCTGCTGGCGGCGAACGGCCACAAGGTCGCGGCGACGCACGTGCCGCCGCGCGCGACGGCGCAGGCGCCCTACGCGTCCCAGGCGCACAAGCGCCACTTCGTCGACGACCGGGGCAACCGCATCCACCGCCACCACCTCGCCATCGAGTCCCTCGCGGTCCTCCCCATGCGCCGCATGCTCCTCCTCGGCTGCGAGGACGGCCACGTCCGCGTGACGGCCTAAGCAGCGCGTGTTTTACGAAGGTTAGATCCACAACACGACGTTCTTCGGCACGCCCCCGTATTCGGCGTCGAAGAAGGCGAGGACGTCGTCGCGCGAGTAGCGCAGGGACCAGTGCACCAAGACGAAGGTCGTCTTGGGGAAGGCGGCGATCCAGGGGTGGAGCTGCGTGTAGTGCGTGTGGCCCTTTCGACGCGTGGACTCGTCCAGCGACTCCGACGGCGCGCCGAGGAACGTCACCTCGTGGATCACCGTGCGATATTTCGGGAGGATCTCGCGCCACCGCTCCCGCAGCAGCTCGATCCGCGTGTCGCCGCTGAACCAGATGAGGCCCTGCTCGTACGTTTCGCGGATGTCGGCGCCGGACCGCAGCAGCCGCCCGAGCTCGGACTTGGGGAGCGACGCGTATTCCTCGCGGAGCCGCGCCTTTTCGCGGTAGACGCCGTAGGACACGGCCGGGATCGCGCCCTTGTGCGGCGCGCGGAAGACCTCGACGCCGATGGGCGTCGGCGACGAGCGGTAGCAGTCCTTGGCCAAGAGGATCTTGTCGCCGTCTTCCACGGGCTGCAGGGGGAACTCGCCGAGCGCTGCGACGGTCTCCTCGTCGGTCTGCGGGAAGCCGTAGTTCAGCTGCGCCTCCGCCAGCAGGAACTTTCTCACGGCGCCCTCGAGCTTCTTGGGGACCAATATCTTCCTCGCGGTCCGCGCGTGCGTCGGCAGCGCCGCGGTGTGATCCCGATGCCCGTGCGTGAGGAGGACCGTGAGCGGGTTGATGCTCTTGACGTGGATGCCGCAGTCGAAGACGATGCCCAGCTCCGGCAAAAAGTAGGCGGACGCGTCCGCGGAGCGCCCGAGCCCTACCACCGACAGGCCCCTGTCGAACTCGATGGTCTTCAGGGAATGGTCGTCGCCGGGCCTCCCGACGTGCCACGCCTCGCCGCGAGGCGCGCTCGTGACGTCCGTGCCCTCCGTCGGCGGCAATAATTGGAGGCTGCCGGCCAGGGCCCGCAGGGGCTGCGGGAACACGTTCGTGCGCGGCGCGCGCTGGACGACGTCGAAGAGGCCCGCGAGCTCCGTGAGCGAGACCTTGCCGTCGCCGTCGGCGTCCGCGAGGAGCAGCAGCTTCGACGCGACGCGGTCGATGGTGCCCCGCTCGTCGTCGGCGAGCACGCGCCGCGCGTGGGCCCGCGCGCCCGACCGCGTGTTCGCGCCCTCGGCGAGCTCCGTGACGATGGACCGCGCGAGCGACGTGAAGAGCGCCTGCGCCTCGTCGCGCGAGAGCGTGCCCGAGGAGCAGTCGTCGAACGCCGCGAGCGCCTTCGCGATCGTCTCCTGCTTCGTCTCCGCGCCGCCGGCGAGCGCGACGGCGGCCTCCTCGTCGCCCGCGAGCATGGCGACGGTGATGCCCGCGAGCTTGCCGATGGCGTCGAGCACGTCGTCGGGCACGTCTCTGGTCGGCGCGAGCGTCGCAGGCGCGACGGTGGTGCGGCGCGGCGCGTGGCGTCGCACGGATGGCACGAGTGTATGCGCTGTGCTCAGCAGCAGCACGAGCGCAAAGGAAGCGCGCATCATCATGGTCGATCCTCGAGTGAACAAGAGGTCGCTCAAAAGCACCGCCGAAGCGTGCGACGAAGCTCCATCGGCATTCGAGCTGCTTCACATTGGCAACGTTGGCATCATCTCTGCATCTTGAATCTTGAGGGGCAGCCCGATGGGCTAAGCTTGCGACCATCGGGGTGCGCGCCTCCCCCCAATTGGAGCTCTGAAACCTCGACGACGCAGCGCGCGATGAGCGCCGAGACGATCGTGCGGCGCATCTTGCGGAACGCGCTGCAGAACCACGTCAGCGACGACGAGGTAGAAGAGCACGACCGCCATGATGGACAGGCCCGTGAGCAGCGCGCACCACCGCTTCCCGCCCGCCTTCCTCACGAGCTCCTCCGTCTTCCGCGTGAGCATCCCTACAAAGAGAACGAGAAGGCTGCGGTCGACTATTTTGCGTGCGTCTTCGACAAGTTAGTGGCGGAAGGTTTAAGTCCGGCGGCGGCGGAGGTGAACTTGACAGAGGCCATACGACAGGAGTGGGTCGCCCAGGGCTTCTGGGGCAACGCCGAGGACGAGGACGAGGGCGTCGCGCCCGAGCCGGCGGCATTGACCGACGCGGAGGTGAAGCGCGCCGTTCTGAACGTCGTGCAGCTGATGCACCTCGCCGGGAATCTCGACCTGGAAACTGCTTCTGCGGTAGAGCACAACGAAGTCTTGGTGGGATCCGTGGCGAAGCTCCTCGGGGAGTCGGACGGAGGCGAGCGTCTGGGGAAGGACTTCATGCCTGCCATCGGAGAGGCAATGCAAGATTTCTTGTCGGGGCTCGAGCCGGAGCCGGAGTCTACCGGCGACTCCGCGGAGCAGGCTTGCGCGCGCGCAGCGCCGCATCTCTATACGTCTGATCAGCTTCAAGCCCTTGACCTTTCGGGACTCGTGCAGATCGAGGAGCTTTGGTTCCAGAAGCAATACGCGGAGCCGCAACCCACCGCGAAGCAACGCATGCTTTCGCCGGAGGCCATCCACAAGGAATTCAGTGCTCTGAAAAAGCCGCGGCGCGCGTTCGTCTTCTTCGCCCGCGACGAGCGCCCGGCGCTGGAGAAGCGCGGCATGTCTCTCGGCGAGATCGGCGCGGAGCGTCGTCCCGCTTTCTTACGCGCGACGACGTCCAACCCCCGCAGGCTTGACGCTTGGCAAGATGTGGAGCTCATTGACGCGAGAGCGGAAGATTAGATACGAGATCATGGAAAGTTCCGATCAGCGACGCTACGAAACGGAGCTGGATTTTTCAGATTTCACGGTTGTCGGCGGTATTTCGATGGTCTATTTTCCTTTGCACTGGATATACCCATGCACCGGCATGCGCAGCTATCACGGCGAGAGTTGCCTCGAGACCCCCGGCGAGCCACTCGTGGCCGCGGCAAACGGCGGGAGTGGTCCCGCCACGTGGAAAATGGAGAAAGGCGACGATAGCGAGTACCTCGCGACGGTCGGGCTGCCCGAAGTTGCGCTGACGAGCGGCAAATGGTATTACGAGGTTACGATCTTGGAAGCTTGCGAGTCCGTACGTCTGGGCTGGGCGCGGAGAGGTTTCTCTGCAGATCAGAATCACTGCTGCGGGGACGACGAGTTTTCCTACTCGGTCGCCGGCGGAGTCGACGAATGCTGTTTCTTTCACGATATGGAGGAGAGGTGGCGGCATGAGGGCGAGCCGTTTGAGGTGGGCACCGTCGTCGGGTGCATGCTTGACCTCGAGTGCCGCGAGATCCGCTTCTGCGTCAACGGGTTTGACGACGACGAGCCCGCGTTTAGCGAAGTTAGCCTCGAGAGCGGATACTTTCCCGCGATGAGTATGGTCTCTGGCAGAATCGAGGTTAATTTCGGAGAGGGCGACTTTCGCTTTCTTCGCGAAGGCTACAGCGCTGTCCCATACCATGTCACGGAGCACGACAGAAAGGCGCAGGCGGACGCGCAGGCATGGCGCGCGGCAGAGGTCAAGTCGAACATGCGGGCAGATCGCCAGTACGAGCTGAGCACGATTCTACAAAACCCCGACCTCAGCGGCGCGTTGGCCGTCCTCGAAATCCTCGACAGGGTCGACGCGGCGCGCGGCGGTTGCGAGGCCGCGCCGAGCCAGCGCGACGCCACCGAATCCGGGACCTCGGGATGGCGCCGCGCCAGCGTCGAGGACTATGGTGTTGCGATGCGCGCCGCCCTCGAGGAGCTTGCCGAGAGCGACCGCCGCGAGATCGAGCGCCTTCGCCAGGAGCACGACGAGATCGCAGCAGAGGTGGATCGCGAGGAAGAAATCGCACGGCAGGCGGAGTGGGATGAAGAAGAAAGGTATGAGGCGGAGATGATGAAGGGGGTCCCATTATGGGCGTGGGACGACGAGAGCAGGGCCCCATAGTACTTGTGAACTTGACATCGGGGAGCAGTAGCTACCAGCGTTTGGCGAAGTGTGAGAGGGATTTTTTTTTTTTTTTTGGCTGCAGTCTTACGCGGTCCCCGCGGCCGCGGCGAGCGCGGCCTCGTAGGCGTTGGGGAAGTGGTCGACGAGCATGCGGCGGTGGAAGCGGACGCCGCGGAGCTCGGCGGCGTCGCGCGCGACGATGCCCCCCCCCTCGAGGTGGAAGAACTCGTCGCCGACGTGGTCGAGGAGCGGGAAGCTCGACGTCGGCGCGAAGTGCCTGAGCGCCTTCGCGGACGTCGCGCGCGCCGCGGCGGCGTCGCCGGCCGCGAGCAGCTTCACGCGGGCCGCGACGCCGAGGTCGAGGCGGTCGATGGCCAGCAGGCGGAGCAGCACGAGGGCGACGGACCGGAGCGAGAGCTGGGGCACGCAGTCGTCGGCGTGCGCGTAGGTCTTCACGGCGAGGTTCGCCGGCGTTTCGCGGGCCGTGATCGTCGGCGGCGGCGCGAAGGCGTAGCAGGCGACCCGCGTGCCCGGGAGGCGCTCCGCGAGCCTCAGGCTCGTCAACACGGCCGCGCCGCCGCCGAGCGAGTGGCCGACGACGACGAGCCGCCGCGGCGCGCCGACGGCGGCGGCGCAGCCGTCGGCGATGGCCTCCGCGGCGCGGAAGATGCCCGCGTGGGCCCGGCCGCCGCCCGCGGCGCAGTCGGACGCGACGAGGTCCGTGAGCGCGTCGCTCAACGTCGACGTGCCGCGGATGCCCAATACCACAACGCCGTCGGGCCGCCGGCAGACGTAGTGGCTCGGCACGCCGGGCGCGCCGGGGTGCAGGTAGGGCACGTCGCGCGCGCCGCAGTGCGCCGCGAGGGCCACGCGCACGTCGCGCTCCGCGAAGGCGCACGAGAAGTCGTCGGCGTCCTTCGCGGCCCGGGGCGTCAGGAGGCCGAGGGCGAGGAGGAACGCGCCGCCGTAGGCCGCCGAGGCGTACTTCATCATCTCCAGACCCTCCTTCGCTTCGTCCGCGCCGGCCGCGCGCCGCGGCGGCGGCCGCGCCGCGTCCTCGACCAGCGCCAGAAGGCTCAGGTTCGCGAAGAGCGGGTGCGACGTTTCGGTCAGCGGCGACTTGCCGAGGAAGACCTTCTCCTCGAGCGCGTCGACGACCTGCTTGATGATCTGCAGCTGCTCGTACCACTCCCTGCCGACGACCTCGCGCAGCGTCGGCGGCGACAGCCGGCGCAGCAGGGGTATGGAGAGCAGGGCGACGCAGGCGGCCGCGGCGACCTCCTTGGCGGTGGCGCGGCTGCGGCGTTTGAGGGAGAGGGCCCAGAGCGTCGCAGCGCCAGCAGCCGCCGCCAAGCCCTTGACCTTCCAAAGCTGCATTGCGAAAATGTGCCCAGGTCGTGCAGGAAGCGGTGAGGCTGCAGTCCTAGACGCGCTGGCACACCTCGACAGCCCCTCACATGCCCGGGCGCGAGAAAAGCGACCCCGCAGCAACGACGACTGCAACATAAGTCGGCGGCATACGATGGATGCGTGATGGCGCTAACAGCAGCCTGATCATCGTCGCCGATCGCATCACTCGCGATGCCTCGCGCCGCTTCGCCACGCGCGGCGCTCGTCGCGCTCGCCTTTGGGGCGGCAGCCCGCGCCGAGATGGTCGCCATGAACATCGCCGTCGGCGCCGGGTGGCTCGCCTTCGAGTTCGACACGCTGGACGGCCGCGAGGCGTTCGAGGCGCGGGCCATCCGCTTCGCGGCGGAGAACGGCCTCAACATGGGCGAGGGCTGCCACGCGCCGAAGACCGACGAGCTCGGCTACGAGTGCGTCGGCCGGCGCATGGCGCGCAAGATCATCGAGGAGCGGGGCCACGAGCGCGTCGTCGCGCCGGCGATGGCGTCCGTGGCGGGCTACGCGGAGAAGAAGAGCGACGCGCCGTCGGCCGAGGAGGCCGCGACCTGCCGGCGGGAGGTTTTAAGGCTCGCCGAGTCGGGCGCGTGGCGCGGCGTCGACCTCGGGCCCTTCGACGACCTCAACGACCGCGTCACGGCGGCGACGGCGTCGGCGGACCAGGTGCGCCTCGGCCACACGGGGCGCACGTCCGCCGCGCGCCGGTGGTACGTCGCCGCCGCGCGGCTGCCGTGCGTGAAACGGATCTGCGAGGTCGGGTTCAACGAGGGCCACTCGGCGTCGCTCTGGCTGCTCGCGAACCCGGAGGCGGAGGTCGTCATGTTCGACCTCTACGAGCAGCCGTCGGCGCCCCTCGGCGAGGCGTTCCTGCGGGACGCCTTCGGCGACCGGCTCTACGTCGTCCGGGGCCCGTCGGAGGTCACGGTGCCGCACTTCGCCTTCTCGCACCCGGCGACGAAGTGCGACCTCCTCGTCGTCGACGGCTCCCACGAGGAGGCCGTCGTGTCCGCGGACATCGCGAACCTCCGCCACCTCGCGCGGTCCGCGTTCCACCTCCTCCTCCTCGACGACACGGCCGCGTGCCGCGCGGAGTACTGCGCGGGGCCGAACGCGGCCCTCGCGGACCACGAGCGGCGCGGCACGGTCGTCGCGCCCATCTTCGCCGTCAGCCAGGACCCGTCCTACCTCGACGGCTTCCTCAGCGGCATGACGGCGACGGCCTACGCGCGGCCCTGGGCGTAACCGAAAGCCGCGCGCTTTCTTAGTCGATGACCTCCACGCTCGGGCAGCCGTACTGGTGGAGCACCTCGGCGACGTCGTGGTGGCCCGCGAATCTCGCGTGGTCCGCGGCGTTGCGGCCCGCGACGTCCGCGGCGGCCATGTTCGCGCCCTTGTCGAAGAGCCACTCGCAGGCCTCGAGCTTCCCCGCGCGGGCCGCGACGATGAGCGCGGTCTCATCCCGTTGCCCCTTGGCGTCGATGAAGAGGCCGGCGGCAGCGAGCGCCTCCATCAACTCCACGTCGCCGACGTGCGCCGCCGCGAAGAGCGCCGCGGTCCCGTTGTCTCGCCGCCCGTCGCCGTCGACGCCGTTGACGAAGTCGGCGTAGCAGTCGAGGCGCCGCGCGCGCGACAGCGGGTCGTCGCCGTGGCCGTGCCTCGGATGGTCCGGCGCGCGCGACGACGGCCGGCCGCGCGACGGGCGCCGCGGGTGGTCCGGCACGTCGACGACCGCCGGCGCGATTCGCGACCCGCGCGCCTTCTTCTTCGGCTCGTCGGCGCCGTGGCGGAAGTTCGACTTGCGCGCGGCGATGATCTCCGGCGGCGGCTCCCGGTACGGCCGCGGGCCGCGCTCCCAGGTCATGCAGCAACACAGGATGCGGCAGTAGACGCGCTCGCGGCCCGTCGCGACGTACTCGTAGTGGTCGTTTCCGTTCGTGCGCGACTGGTGCCGCCGATTGAAGCGGCGCATGGCGCAGGAAGCGTTTTTACCACGCTGGTATTGCGCGGCTGCGTGTCACATTTATTAGCGCGCACATAATCGCAACGAGCTACGGCATCAACGATCCCGGATTCCAGGCCGTCGAGCTTTCGGTTGGCCGGGGGTCGGGAGCGCACCACCACGAGTCCGAAAGCGGCGTAGTGAGGTTATGTGAAAACGCGTGGCGACCCCCGAGAAGCGGGGCGTCGCCCGAGGCCGCGCCAAGAGGGCGCCCGCGGGGCGCGCGGTGTGGTCCGCGCCCGCGCGGGCGGTGTTCGACGCGGGTCCGCGCGCGCGCCGGTCGCGCGCGGGCGGGTCGACTCGCTCGCGGCGCGGGGCCTAGGCCCTGGCCGCGGCTTTTCGTTTGTAGAAGAGGACGTAGGCCTGGCTGGAGACGACCGTGCTCGGGTCCGCGCGCGAGACGAGCGAGTCGTTATAGTGGCTGCGGCGGGGACGGCGCGCGTCGAGACAAAAAAAAAGAAAAAACGAACGCGGGGAGAACGCACTACCAGACCTGGGTCGCGTCGTCGATGGCCGTGGCCGTGTAGTGGCCGCCGCCGAGGCCGCCGCTGTGCTCCGAGACCGCGTAGAGGTCGTAGAGGCAGCCGCGCGGGTCGTCCTTGGCGCCGAGCACCTGGGAGCTCAGGTCCAGGTCCCGCAGGGGGAAGCTCACGAGGTCGTCGAGCTTCTGGCGGTGCACGAAGTAGGTGTTCTGCGCGTACTGGAAGCGCTTGAGGTGGAGGATGAGCACGTCCGGCACCGACCAGAGGTCCAATTTCTTGAACGCGCGCGAGTGCTGCTTGCACTTGGCGCAGTACCACTGCTCCGTCTCGCCGAGCTGCTCGCGCTCCGCGAGCTTCCGGAAGCAGTCGAGCACGTCGATGGACGCCGCGCCGCGGCCGCCGTCGTCGTCGCGGCGCCGCGCGGACGCGTGGTCGTCGACGGCGTCGCGCTCCGACGCGTCGACGCGGCCCGCCAGATCCTCGTCGGACCACTCCAAAGTCACGGTCTGCACCGTCGACGGCAGCGCTTCGGCCTCGGCGCCCAGGTCGCTCTCGAAGCGCGTGCCCGACGCCGTGGACGCGCAGCACCGGTACGCGTCGCCGTCGCCCGACGCGACGAACCGCGCGCAGTGCGCCGCGACCTTGGCCCGCAGGTCCCCGCACGTCGCCTCGTCGTTCACGGCGACGCGCAGCGGCAAGCCGAAGAGCTCGTACTGCTTCGCCGGGCCCGCGCCCGCCGCGCCCGGCGCGCGGAACGCGGACCCGGAACCTCTAGCCGCCGCGACCTTGCCGAAGAGCACGTCCACCGTGCGGCCCTTGGGCTTGCCGTTGGCGCCCCGGCGGTCCAGCTCGAAGGCAACCAATTCATCGTTGGGCTTGATGTGCTCCACGGAGAACGCGTCCGCGAACGTCCGGTAGACGCGGTGGCCCCAGACGTCGCACAGATCCAGATCGCCGCCGCTCCGCGCGTCCGCGCCGTAGGCCAGCGCCACGAGCGCGTCCTTCAGCGCGCCCACGGTCTCGCGCGCGGGCACGGCGACGACCAGCTTCAGCGGCCGCGTGCCCAGGGGCAGCTTGAGCAGCGTCACGGCGACGCGGCGCGTCTTCGCCGCCGGCAGCGGCAACGAGAGGCTCAGGTAGGGGTCGAAGGTGATGGACTCGTGGTTGCAGTTCGGGCAGGTGATGTGGCTCTTGAGCTGGCCGTAGCACGTGTCGACGATGACGCTCTTGTTGCGCATCTGGAACCGGCTCCACGACTCGCGCGACACCTCGGCGTCGGGCCGGCCGTTCGACTCGAGCGTCTCCGTGTAGGGCTTGCGCTTGATGCGGTTCAGGTCCTCGTGGAGGCCGTCTAATACGTAGTTCATGAGCTCCTGGCTGTCCTGCTGCTGGTAGCCGCTGAACTGGGGCGCGTGCGTGCCGATGGACCGCTTCAGCGCCGTCGGCACGACGACGGCGAACTTGCCGCTCCAGACGTCGCGCACGAAGTCGGCGTAGGCCCGGGCGATCTGGCCGCCGGCGCCCAGGGGATTGTCCTCGTTGATCTCGTCGAGGAAGGTCGGCCGGTTGTTGCCGTCGTCCTCCAAAAAATAGTTCGTGAGCGGGTGCGTGTGGCTCAGGCACTGGAGCCTGGGCAGGACAAGGGTGATTCAACGTCGCTTCAACGTGAGTGTTCCGCGCGCGCGCGTTCCGGAAAAAGCATCCACGCTTCGAGACCGTTCCAAGAGATGATCGCTCGTCCAAAAATCAGCCGAAACGAGTGGAAAACGGCCGAGATATGAGGCTTTGAAGTTGGGAATTTCGCTCTCTTGTCCTGCCCTGACTGGAGCATCGAGTTCATGAAGCACGTGTTGCCCAGGTTCGACAGCCCGACGGCGCCGCGCGCCGGCGGCGCGCCGCGCACGTGGGACCGCGCGGGCCGCGCGTCCGCGCGCGAGGACGCGAGGCGATCCGCGCGCGCGTAGGCCGCGCCGCCGGGATCGGCGCCGGACCGGTGGTGCTCCGCGAGCTGGCGGTCCCGGTCGTGGCGCGCCGCCGCCGACGCGCGGCTCTTCTTGATGTGGGTCCCCATCTTGCAGAGCTGCTCGCTCGACGTCTCGAGCCACCGCGGCGCGACGGCGGCGCCCGGCGCGACGGTCGACACCTCGACGCGGTCGCCCGAGCAGTCGACGACGCGCGCCTCGTACCACAGGGGCTTCTTGGCGTCCTCGGACCGCACCTCGCAGGCGTCGCCGACGCGCAGCCGGCGCCAGTCCTCGGTCCGCGCGAAGAGGGGCTGGAGCGACGACTGGTCCTCCTTCTCGACCCACGTGTCCCACCGCGAGCTCCACCCGCGGAAGTGGACCTTGACCTTGGAGCCGTCGACCTCCACGACCACGGAGTCGAACCAGCGGCCCTCGCTGTCGCGCGCGTCGACGACGTCGCCGGCCTTGAGCCGCGCGCGCCACCGCTCCCTCCGGACGTCGCGCGGCCAGAGCCGGTTGCCGCCCGGCGCCGACGGGCTCCGGAACTCGACCAAAGCCCCCCAGCGCGGCGCCTCGCGGCTCCCGAAGACGGCGGGCACGCCGCCGATCATCGCCGACTCGTCGCCCTCGAGCAGCTGCCAGAGCTCCTCGCCCTGCGCGTCGTCGTCGCCGCCGCGCCCCCAGAAGCGGTCCTCGCGCAGCTCCCGGGGCTCGCCGGCGACGGACTCGCCCGTGAAGTCCTCCTCCGCCGCGGCCCGCACCCAGATGCGCCGCTCGTCGCCGAGGCCGCCGCGGCCCGCGCGGAAGAGCCGGTCCCGGCAGCCGCCGACGCGGTCGTAGCGGCTGCAGAGCACGGGCCGCGCGCCGCGGTCCGCGGCGCTCGCGCGGCCGTCGCGCTCCACGACGCGCACGTCGAAGCGCAGCGGGTAGACCTCGACGTAGACCTCCGCGGACGACGCGCCCTGGACGACGCGGACGGGGTAGGCGGGCCCTCCGCCGTACCAGCCCTCGAGCGCGGCCCAGACCGGCGCGGGCACGAGGGCGTAGTCGTCGTGCTCCACGAGGCCGACCTTGAGGAAGCGGTCGCCCTCGGGCGACGCGAAGCTCAGCGGCTCGTTGCCCACGGGGCCGGGCTCCGCGGCCGCGGAGCCGCTCACGGAGAGCTGCTCGAGCGAGCCCTCGAGGCCCTGGTCGTAGCCGACGTACTGGCGCCAGGACGCCCACCACTTCTGGGAGACCACGTAGTACGTGTCGCCGAGCCGCATGCGCGCGGCCTCGAGGGCATCCTTCACCTGGGCCCGCTGCGCCGTCCGCGACGCCGCCATTTTCTATACAGCTAGCTTGTCCCTGCGGCCGCGCGCCCGGTTTCGATCACCGGGCGCGCCGCGGCGGCGGCGCCGGCCGCGAAGGAGGTCTGCGCGCCCCGGAGCGCCGGGCGCTCTGCGAGTCCGGAAAGACGACGGACGCCGGCGGCCGTCCACGCGAGGCCAATGCACAGAGAGCGACGCTGAGGCGCTTTGGCCACGGGTAACATTGATGTGAGTTGCCGTCCAAGGGCCGATCTTTCCCGTCGCTCTAACAATCCATCGTCCCGTGGCCACCGAAGCTGCCCCTGCCGTCGCATCCCGCCGCCGCCACACCTCACACCATGGCCGCCATGGCCGCGAAGCCGGCCCCCAAGAAGTCGATGGACGCGCCGAAGAAGCAGCTGAGCCTCGGCCCGGCCTACGACAAGACGGGCTGGGAGGCCGTCGTCGAGACCTTTGGGTGCGGCACGACGGTGAGCGAGGACGACATCAAAGAGATGGTCAAGGAGGCGAAGACGCCCGTGACGCTGCACGTCTACGCCGTGGGCCACGCCAAGGCCATCCAGGAGATCAATTACGTCGTGGAGAACTTCCTCAACGAGGGCGGCGTCTTCCACGGCGCGATCGAGGTCTACGGCCAGGAGTTCTCCTTCGGCGGCTGCCGCCAGAACAAGAGCGGCATCTTCGCCTGCAAGCCCAAGTCCTGCCCCATGCACACGTACCGCGAGTCCATCTACCTCGGCGACTGCAAGAAGACCATCAAAGAGGTCCAGTCGATCCTCGACTCCATGAAGCCCGAGTGGATGGGGCCGACCTACAACCTGCTCCGCAAGAACTGCTGCTCCTTCAGCAACGCCTTCGCGCAGAAGCTCGGCGTCGGCGAGATCCCCAACTGGGTCCACCACCTCGCGGACGTCGGCGCCGCGCTCGACGACGACGTCAAGGCCGTCGTCCACGGCCTCCACAGCATCGAGGACAGCGTCGAGGGCGTCTTCCACCACCAGACGGTCCACGACCCCGACGACCCGGCGCACCCGGGCCACCCGGAGCACCCCTCGAACAAGTGAGACGCGCCCCCAGCCCCACGTCCCGGCCCGCGCGGCCGGAGGATACTCTAGTAACGGCCCCCTTTGTACCCGGAAAGACCGCCCATCCACGAACCGAGCTCACGGGCACCCCGAAGCTTACTGCGTCGGGCTCGTCGCGGCGAGGGCCTTCTCGTAGAGCTCGAAGCGCCGCTGGGACGTGGCGAGGAGGCGCCGCTCCGCGACCTGGTGGAGCTGGATCATCTTGCGGATGCAGAGCGTCGGCGGCTTGAAGCCCTTGGGCGACGGCGCGCCGCTCAGGTCGTCGCCCTCGTCGAGCGTCGGGCTCGGCGGCGCCGGCGGCGCCGCGGGCGTCGACGGCGCGGACCGCCGCGCGCCGTCGTCCGCGAGCGACAGCCCCGTGGACGAGCTCGACGACTTGGGCCGGTCGCCCGCGGGCAGGTCGCCCAGGGGCTTCGACGCGCGGTGCTGGAGCCCCGCGGCGCGCGCGCGGCGCCGGCCCTCGCGCGCGAGGAGCAGCGTCGACGTCTTCGGCCGGTGGACGTGGGGGTCGATGGTCGGCAGCCCGAAGCTGCCTAAAGTTCGCTCCTGGTCCAGGCTCAGCAGGCTCTCCTTCTTGATGATGTCCATGGACCGCGCGAGGCCCTCGCCGACGACGACGTCCGGCTCCTTGGGCCGCCGCCGCCGCCGCCCGGCGAAGTCCCCGTGCTCGGACGCGGGCGTGACCTCGAGGTGGTTCAGCACCCGGTGCACCTGGTTCATATGGCCGCGCTCGTCGCTCGGGTCGTCGGCCGGCGACCCGGGCGCGTCGCCGTCGCGCGCCTCCTCCGCGAGGCGGCGCCGCTCGCTCCGCTTCGACCACTTGTCGATCATCTTCTTCGTCTCCGCCTTGCCGTGGTCGCTGTCGAGGAGCGCCTCGTTCAAATTGACGAACTTGGTCACGCGCCGCTTCGCGCCCGCGCCGCCGCCGCGGCTCACGTTCTTCGTCGCGAGCGCGTCGAGCCGCGCGCAGTGCGAGTTCACCGTGAGGCGGCCCTTGTCCGGCGACGGCTCCGGCGACGACGACGCCGGGTCGTCGCCGTGGTGGTGGCGGTGGTGGCGGCGCCGGCCCGGCGAGTCGCCGCCCGGCTCCGCGGGGCCGTCGAGCTTGTGGACGATGGTGCCCTGGGCCTCGCGCCGCCGCAGTCGGCCCTCGGCCATGTGCGTGCGCACGCGCTCCTGGGCGAGCTTCGACATGCGCTCCTCGCAGAGGTTCGCGCGCGCCTTGAGCTCCGTCGCGATCTGCGCGCGCGCCGCGCGGTCCATGTCGCCGTTCTTGACGAGCTCGTTGGCGCGCTTGAGCATCTTCGTGCAGATCTCGTGGCACTTGCCGATGATCTCCTCGGCCCGCAGGTACTCGCCCTGCTGCTCGTAGACCTCCGCCTCCGCGAGGAGCGTGATCGTGCTCGCGACGACGTCCTCGAGGTCCGCGCGCGCCTCGGCCCGCCGGCTCTTCGTGTCGCTCTTCTTCTTGTTCGCGACCTGGGTCACGCCCTCGGGGTTGATCTGGTAGTTGGCGTAGGTCATCATGGCCGGCGTGATCGACACGTGCTCCTGCGCGTAGCTCGCCTCGCAGACGGCCTCCCAGTGCATCCGCGCGGTCACGGCCTTCAATGCGAGCGCCTTCGTCCGCGGGTCGAGCACGCTCAGCTCCCGGGCGATGGACATGGAGATGACGAAGACTTCCGTGACGGTCTGCGCGACGGCCCAGCGCGTCGCCTCGAAGAAGCCCATCATCTCGACCAACCCGAAGATGTCGTCGGGCCCCAACAGCGCGACCTCGATGGCCGAATCCTTGCCGCCGGCGCCCAGGCGGAAGATCTTGAGGGAGCCCGTCTGGATGAAGACGACCTCGGACGCGTCCGCGCGCGAGACCTGCTGCTTGGGCTTGACGACGCGGCGGCTCATGCGGCTCGCCATCTTGTAGAGCTCCTCGATGGGCCAGTGGCGGTAGAGCAGGTTCGACTTGAGGCACGCGACCTTGACGTCGAAGAGCTTGTTCCGCTCACCATAAATACGCTCGAAGGTCGACGGCGGGATCACGAAGCAGACCGTGCGGCCGAAATCGCGCGCCGTCGCGTCGTCGAGGTCGAGGATCTCCGCGTCGCCCGTCGCGACGATGGACGCCGCGCGGCCCTCGGAGTGGGCGCTGAACGCCACCTCCCCGAAGCCCGCGCCGGCCTTGAGCTCGACGACGCGCCGCCCGTAGTCGCGCACGAGGGGGTCGCTCGCGTCGCCCGGCGTCGGCGGCTCGTCGTCCGTCGCCTTCTTGTGCACGGCGACCGCGCCGTGGAGGCACGTGTAGTAGCCGTCGGGCTTGTCGCCCTCGCGGAACACGAGGGCGCCGCTCGCGTAGAACCGCAGCTGGCCCTGGCTCAGCACCTCGAAGACCTCCTCGTTCGTCATGTTCGACATCGACTTCGGCGCCATGAGGTACAAGATCTGCTGCGCGGTGTCGAGCCAGCCCCGGTCCATCTCCGGGGGCCGCTCCCGGAGCAGGTCCTGCAGCCGCAGCACCTGGATGTACCGCGAAAAGCGCGACAGCACGCGCGGGTCCTGGTCCATGAAGACGATGGGATGCATGAGCACGACCCACGACGGCGAGTAGCCGCGGTACTCCGATATGCCCAGGTGCTTCACCGTCGAGTTCGTGAGCTGGCGGAACTTGTGGAGGTGCAGGTGCTGCAGGAATTCGCCCTCGGCGGCGGAGATGCCGTACTGCACGAGGAGGCCCTCGCTCAGCAGGTTCCGCATGCGTTTGATGACGACGACGCGCGCCTCGCGGCACCATGCAATAACATCTCTCCGCGACTCGTCGTCGAGCAGGTCGAAGAGCTTCTGCAGGAACTTCTTGTCGTCCTCGGGGAAGACGGCGTAGTCCGTCTTCGCCTTGAGCGCCTCGCCGCTGCGGTAGGCCGCGCTGTAGACCTCGTTCGGTAGGCTCCGGTCCGGCGTGAGGCCGCGCGCGAACTCGAGGATCTTCGTCTCCCGGGTCACGCGCGGCCCGGCGATGGTCCCGCGCGGCGCCGCCTGCGCCATGGCCGCCGCGTCGGGCAGCGGCGCGACGGGCGGACTGGTCGCAGCCCGCCCAGAGCTAGCGCGCTCGGCGCCGGCGGCATCATTGGCACGATGCCGCTGACAAATCTCATAAAACCATCACGATGGCACAAGGCGCTCTAACATGACCATGGGGCGGTAGCTCATCACCCGCGAGCATGGTGCGGGTGACGCCCGTCGTCAAGAGCGTGTCGCTGACCGTGAACCTCGCCAACGCCGTGCGGAAGAAGAAGCCGGACGAGGCGAAGCCGGCAGCCTTCCGTTTCTCCAGCAAGAGCGCGCCGCCGAAGCCGCGGCCGAGCCGGCCGTCGCGGCGCGTCGCGCCGGACAGCGGCGACCAGCGCCGGGCCGCGGCGGACCGGGCGGCGGCCAAGGCCGAGGCCCAGCGCGCCGAGGCCCAGCGGCTCGCGGT